ATTCCTGTGAACAAAAGCTCTGTGTCTGTAAAAGCGATGGTCAGGCAGCACTGGGCTCCCATGCTGTGTACCTGAGTTTGGCTCGCTGCCTGGGTGCTACAGCCTCGAGCAGTTAGGGAGCGGTCAGTGCTTCCCTCACACGCACAGCACTTCCGTGAAGATGGGGGAGGCTACAGGGGTGAGAGCATTAACTTTAGGGAGATGCAGTGCCATTAATTTGAGGTTAATTAAGAGCTGTCCTTGCATTGCCACAACCGTTGTTTCTCTCCTTTCAGTTACCTTACTGAGGAGGTATATCCCTTTAAGAATGAGGCATGATGGGAACCCCCAACAGTGTAAGAAAAGCAGCCTTAACAGAAGGTGCTCAGTGTGGAAGGAGCCCCGGTAGCAAACAGATCTGAAGTGAAGACTCAGGGACTAATTGCTGTTAATGTTCACACTGGCTTGTGTTGGCGCATTCTCAGCTGGACAGCATTTGAATTTGCTAGTATTAGGAAATTGGGCTTTTATTTATTGTTTGCATATCTTGAGTCTGTGCATTTTCAGACTGAGAATCTGGTGACCCAGACAAGCAGGAACACTCTGCAATGCAGCTGACCTACAATTTCCTCTTTCACAGGCTGCCTGCATTTTTCATGATTGTCCTTATCTGTTTTAGTAACTGGCAAGAACGCTCATTCAAACAAATGGTTTTTGCTGACAACCCTGATCTCAGACTAAGATGCTCAGGCGAGGACCTTAGCTGCATGTTCTATAGAGCACTATCTACAATCGGCGCACTCCAAACCATAACTGATCCAGCTGTTAGATAAGAACAATCAGACCTCTGACCCCAATCACTTATCATTAGTAGGCAGTGAAGCTATCGGAAACAAAACGATACTTGCAAGGTGTGTGTGGGTGAACAGGCCAAGTTGTGAAGTTGGTAGAAGGGCCGCCACAGCTCCTCAAACCGTACAGCTGTCTGACTAAGCAAGTTGGGGTCAGACTGAGATTTAGATAGGAGTCACTAAGGAAACCCTTGAACTGTAAGAACTTGTACTGACAAGCAAATGCACCCGTGGTTAAAACAAGGCCTAGGAAAAAATGTCTTTCCATAAATTAACTGGCATGAAGCAAAGCCCTGGGAAAGATAAGGCAGTGTGTAGTCTCAGCACATTAACCAATGGAGGTAAACCTTAACCTCCCAAATGCATTTATTGTGATCTGCTAATACATGTTTTCACTACACACTGCCTTGGTCTATGCTAGAATTGTTCTGTGCCAGCTGCCATAAAGTTTTGGCCACTAATGTGATGCCCAGCTGTGCTACAGAAACACTGTCAGGGGCCATTTAGTCTTCTGGATGAGCCTATATGTGGCCGTCCAAGCTATAAAAAATGCTGTGGTCTTTTCATGAGGATATAGGTGTTATTCACACTAAAACTAGATTAGCTACATCCTGCTCATATATGTTTCCATAGGATTCTGAGTAGTTTCCAATGCTCCTCTCTCCTGTCTTAGTGATGTGTGCTGTTAAAACAGCAGCTGTATTCCACAGGTGGCTGAAGGTATCTGAAATCATCTGGGATGAAAGGCACAACGTAACAAAGCGCAGTAGTGCCTCGTCAGATCATTAATGTCAGACAGCAACTTATGTTGTAGGAAAACCCGCTGCTGCCACTCCATGAATGGTCCAGCTTGAAAGACCTACTTAACACAAGTGTCAAAGTGCAGCAGCGACAAGAAATTTTCCACCTACCAGACGATCAGCAGAAAATACGAAGTCCCCTCTACTGGCTGTCCTGAAAAAGGAAACAAATGCTATTTTAAACTGGTGAACAACTTGCAGACAAAATGAACAGTTACTTGTAACACATTAATTCAAACACAGTACATTTTACACACAATTTATAGCAGGAGACTTTCCCCAGAGCTAACCTGCTTTTAGGTAAAGCACGTTTGACTGAAGTCTCTCTTTAATGGAGGAGATCAGCACCTGGAGAGAGCAAGGCCACAGCAGGGTTTGTCACTTAAAACTGGCTAACAGCACTTTGTAGGAAGCAGTTAGAATATCTACACTAAAGCAGGCTGCTAAGTAGACTTTCCATGGAAAAATGTGACCTTGCTTCCACTCCATCCTGGTTCCAATTCATCACACACATTATAAGCTCCGAGTTCAACATCCTGCTCCAACAGTCAATAGAAAAAATATCACCAAATGGGACAGTACAGTAACCCTGAAAATGCCCAAATGGTCCACCAGTATCATGTGCACATATGTTTCAGTTTTACATGCAACTAATCATGGTGGGCACATTCTCATTTTTTTTAAATGGCCCCAATGCAGTTACTCGCCATTTCCTTCTTTGAATTCCTATAAAGAAACTGGCACTAAACCCCAAATATTTGCAATATTTTAACTAAGTTTGCATGCACGAAAGCCAGGATACTTGATTATTTATTCCCAGGGCAACTAATAATTTGGCCACGTTAAGGTAATTGTTCAAAGGGACTGTGTTGGGCCATTTTAATTTCTCTTCCCATGTCTTATGCTAATCTAAGAGTATTTAATATATACGGTGCTTATATTTTGTCTTACACATTGACAACAACAAATTAGCAACTTCCTGGTGTTCTGGCATTAAAAGGGAACCCGGATATTTTGGATACATTATCTCATGGGCTTCTTGCTAATTCCTGTGATCTTACAACCACCTTGCTTTTTTTAAGGTAAGTTCTATATTAGAATTCACTTGGTTCTCGATGGTATTTAATAATCAAGAAGGAGGGGACAGAACGCACAGGTGACATTTCTAAATTGTTCCATATGATGGTATTTCAGAGGCTTTTGCGAAGCAAGGCAACTAGGTGGCATGACAAGTTAAAACCAGTCCTGACATTCAAAGTGATGCACACTCGAGGAGAATAATATGAACTATTCATAGTCATACCATTTAGTAAGTTTTAAATTAACTATATCAATTGGGAGGGAGAAGAAGAGAGAATCATCACTGTATACAGCCTCAAAGAAACTAGCTCAATGTGCAACATGCAGTCAAAAAGAAAAAAAAGAAAGAAAAGGCAAAAGCCAGCAAGGTATGTGGAACGAGATAAAGAGTAGCACTGAAAATGTGTTCATTCATTGGGAAAACTGTGTTCAGGTCTAATAAACCATTGTCAGAAAAAACAGGGCAGACTGAGAATGTGTGCGCAGATGGTAAGAAATATTTTTAGGGCTGCAGAAAAAGTGTGAAAAGACTGTAACAGTTTACCTTAGAGCACCATAATGCAAATATACAGAACAATGAATGGCCTACAGAAGGCTAGCAGGAGAATGAATAACACTGTTCCCAAATGAAAACCAAGGAAATCTCCAAGAAAGGGGTAAAGTCAAACCTGGTGGTAACAAGTCATCTTGTGGCCAAAGGCTTAATGGGATTCCATATAGATCAGTTACTTACGGATAAGAACACCCAATGCTGTAATAAACTCCAAATGAGTTTTTGAGGGGATGGGAACTCTTCTGTGTTATGACATAAGGCAATCACTAGTTCTCAGGGTTAGAAGCAGCCTTCCTTGGTAGCATTGTCCTCGTAAAAGCTTAATACAAGATATTTCCACCATCCTCAGTAGCATCTGGTGCTGGTTACAATTGATGACTACACAGATGGTTGCTCTGACCTAGTATGGCAATTCCTACATTACTTTTTCTCCTGCTGCCATGTGAAAGTCATTCAAGAAGAAACTTACTATTTGATAGTGCTATGGAATCAAACTGAAAATAATTCTTCAGTTTAATCCTCCTGTCAGGAACTGTAGATGTTAACTGGTACCTGCTATTATTATAACTTTCACATCTATCTCTCTCTATTTTCTTTTTTTAAAAGATGCCTAACCCTTTAACAGCATTGTAGTTGTGGATAAACACTGCCGGGGAAGTCTGAACAAGACTGAAATAAGTCATAAAAGTATTCTTTATGAAACATTCTTTTAAAATATGCTCTGGGCCTAAGCTGTTATGTGTTCAAGGGATAGTGTCTGCTGAGGGGAGATCAGTTATCAAGGCACTAGTCACGGCCTCCTTGCCATGAGACACAGAGCTAATGCACCCAGCATTTTTTTGTTTCAAGTGCCTGTGCTGTTGCAAGTGGAATGTGGATGGGATGCCACCCTCCTTCCAAGCAATGAAGTCATCTTGCTGATGAGTTATGCACTGTTGAGTCATCCCACTCGGTATAGCAGTTGAGAGCATATGCCCTGCTGCTTCACTGTCTTCAGTTCTACATTGTTCACTGCACGTCCTCTGAGGAATAAAAACCTTCAGCAGAATACAATAAAAGCTACAGTAACCTTTAAATACCTGCACCTAAATCCCACCTAATTTCAAATTTAGTTTTTCGAATGAGGCTATTGATCTGAACTAATGAAGTTGCTTCTGGGGTACTCTAGACTAGGTCTGTGTGAACTGGCAAGTATTTGATTCGGATTCAGCCAATTCAGAGGGACAGCAATTCAGTTCGGTGATTCAAATCACTGTCCTGATTCAATTCGGCTGATTCGGATCCAAAGATTTGGCGCCGATTTGGAGATGCAGCCATAGACTAAACAGGCAGCAGTCCTCTAGGATGGTGGACACAGCTGCCTCCAGCTGGTAAGTCTGTTGTGGTGGGGGGGGGGGAGAGGGAGGGGGCAGATCAACACCCCCACAGTGAGGGAGGGCCTGGGGCTGGGACACGCTGCCCAGCCAGGGTAGCAGGGCATGGGACTCAGGGTGGGGGGGCTCCTGCCACTGCGCGCTGCCAATCCGGGAGGGCATGGGAGCGGGCGTGTGCCCCTCGATCTATGTGGGGCAGGCTGGCCTGTGGAAGGCACTGGGATTGGGGGCTATGCCCTCCTGCCGCTTGCCCAGCCTCCCCACACCTCCCGGACAAGCAACAGCTTCGCCCTAGCTGGGCAAGAAGTGGCAGGGCATGGGGATGGGCATGTGCACCCAAATCGGAGCGGGACCGGCAGCAGGGGCTATGGGGAATTTTACGGTGGCTGCAGCCCCCCATATCCTCGACTCCACTGCACCCTGCAGGGCGGGTGGAGCCAGAGCTGCGCTCTGACCTGCGGCTGGAGCTAGCCACCTAGAGCGCAGGCCGGGCTCCACCCGCCCCACAGAGTGTGGCCCATTGGTGAGCAGCTAGGGCTACCCTCCTGGAGCGCAGCCCGGACCAGCCTGCCCTGCACAGATCCGTGGGTGCACACCCGCCCTCCCAGGCTGGCAGCGCGCAGTGGTGGGAACCTCCATCTCCAAGTCACACGCGCAGGGGCAGGGAGTGGCAACTTGCAGTCCATGGGCCAGACCTAGGGGACAGGTGCACTCCCCATGCTGCTGCAGGAACACATAAGCATCAGCAAAGGCTGAGTCCTAGCGTCTGCCCACTCACCCCTGGGTTCACTTGGGCTCGCAGCCTAAAAGGGTTGCCAATCGTGACATTAGAAGTTTCGTAATTCATATCTACTGCCTGAGTGCTAAGGGGTAAAAGCTTCCGCTAAACTTGGAAAAGCTGCAAGACTGAATAAGTATGTGAAAATGCTTCATGAAGGGGGCCAGGGAGAACTGGGATCTATCTTACTGCCCAGCCTATTGTTTTATGAGCCCAACTTGTGTTGACATTAATAACAGCTGCACAGAATGAAGCAACAGGAACATGGACAGCTGTGGAGACAAAAGTAGGCTAAATCAATAATGATGACTTCTTGAACTAACACAAGCTCTCTTTAAAAGGCCTGTGGTAGCATGCTGATCATTTTCACATTCTTAGTCAGAAGGGGAGGCACCTAAGAAAATACCAAGCTGCTAAAGGATGTGGTTTAAGGATCTGCATAGTGCATGCTCTTCCCTGCCTAGCAAGCTACAGTGCCCCCACTGCCTAGCTCCTCTGCAAGGAATAAGCACTGTAATAAATTAGGTTTGAAATGGGGTGCTGCTCAGTTGACAGTTATGAAGGGAAGCTGAGAGTCAAATGAGAGGTGCCTCAAGTTGAGAACCACTGATCTACACAGAATAGGAATGAAGGGAACGCTCCACCTCCTTGTGGTGACAATCTATTCAGACGTCCTCTTGCAGATGCAGCCACTTGCCAAATCCAGCACAACAGAACCAGATGGGAACAGGCTCTGGCATGCTTTGCCCTACGGAGCTGACCAGAATGACACAACCTGGTACACGGCCACTCGGCAAGCTCTTGATCATAAGTAACTTAGATTCTACAAGGATCTCCCGCACGCCTGTGCAATGCATTCTGCATGGCTCCACTGCCTTCTGATATGGAAGGGAGAAAGACCTATTTGCATAAGCTTCCCTTGTCCTGAGCAGCTCCCACTTCTGCCTGCTTCCACACAGCCCAGACAGTTCTCAAGATAACACAGGCCAGAGCAGAGCTACCATGTACTGGAACTAGACCATCCCACGCATGGAGACAGTCCCAAAATGCCTGTCACTGTTCTAGAGTTGGTCCACTCTTTTCTCTCCAACATACCTCAGTTTCATTGTGCTCATTCCAATTGGCTTTTTATGTTATCCCAGTGTCTGAAACTCTATCCATCTTGTGAGGCATTAAACAACCCACCTCCCCTCCTTCATCAGCTTCAACTTGGTGCCATCTGCTCCTTTTATTCTAAATTCTGCCTAGAAAGACAACTGAAATAAGAAGTGATCTGAATATCTTGTAAATAACTCATTTCCATTTCCTGTCCCATACTGTCTATTAACCTCTCACCCTGCTAGCTATATCCATTAAATCAAGCTCTTTGG